CGTGCAGAATAGTTTGGATAATTGTACTATCAATTTCTGCTAGTTTTTTGAAAGGAGCAGTTTTATGCTTAAATTTTTTTCCTTTTTATTCCTATTTTTTTTTCTTTTGAATTTTCTACAACTTTTTTGTTATTATTCAGTTTTATTTTTTCTTTAAACCAATGTTGCATGTTTATATCTGGTAACCTGAACAAGTAATTTGAAGATCGCATCACACAATACAGCAACTATTTTTGAATTCCTATTACTTTGTTTAGTGAAATTTTGTATTGTTTCTAATGCTGTTTTTTCTATTACTGTTTTGTATTCTTTAAAAATATAAAATAGAATAATGACAAATTGAGAATTATGAGAATACCATTTAAAGCGGTTTCAAGAATAATGAAATATCAAGGAATTAACTTAGCCAAGAAAGTAAAACACCTCTACAAAGAAAACTACAGGGCCTGGGGAGATAGCTCAGTGGTCTTAAACGCCTACCCGGCAAGCGCAAGGACCCAGGTTCCATCCCCAGTACCGCATGCTGTGCCAACCCCAATCCCTGAGAGCATCATGCTAGAAACTGAAACCAGGCATGGTGGTGCATGCCTGTAATCCCAGCCCTCGAGAGGCTGAGACAGAAAGATTACTATGAATCCGAGCTGCACAGCAAGACTCTGTACCAAATAACTAATTAATTAAAAAGAAAACTACAGTGCTCTGAAAGAGACTGAAAAGGACATCACAAAATGGAAGGAAGTCCTCTGCTCCGGGGGAGCAAGAATCAATATTGCCGAAATGGCCATAATTCCAAAACTTTTAAACAGATCCAATGCAATCCTGTTCAAAATACCAACAGCATGCTTAGATCTAGAATAATTCTAAAATTTATATGGAACCAGAAGAGACTCAAATAGCAAAAGTAATTTTGGGCAATAAGACGAAGACAGGCTGCTTAGTAATGCCTGACTTTAAGCTATACTACAAAGCAATAGTGATAAAAATGGCACAGTGCTGGCACAAAAAGCAGACAAGTGGATCACTGGAACAGAATTGAGGATACAGAAATCTCCCTAGACATACTGAACTATTGTATATTTGACAAAAAGACAAAGTCATATGTTAGAGGAAAGACAGCCTATTCAACAAGCGGTATTAGGAAAATTGGTTTTCAGTTTGAGGAAGAATGAAACTGGACCCCTATTTCTCACCATATACTAAATAAAAATAAAAATAAAAATGGATAAAGGATCTAAACATTAAAACAGAAACATTACCCCTACTAGAAGACAAAATAGGTAAAACACTTGAAGACATAACTATAGGAAAGGATTTTCTAGGCCGAACTTCAGTCACACAAGCAAAAGCAGCAAGAATCAACAAATGGGACTGTATCAGAGTGAAAAGCTTCTGTACAGTAAGAGTCCGAAGAGTGGAAAGACACTACAGAATGGGAAAAATGTTTTGCCAGCTACTCCTCAGATAGAGGACTAATACCTAGAATATACAAATAACTAAAAAAAAAAAAAAAAATCAAGCCACCTAATATTAAAGATCCAGTCAAATCCAATCAAACAATGGGCAAGATAAATGAAGAGATACTTCACTGAGGAAAAAACACAAATGGTCAACAAATATATGAAAAAATGTTCAACACCTCTGGTCATTAGTGAAATGTAAATTAAAACAATACTAAGATTCCACCTTACTCCAGAAATAACAGGAAGCATTATGGAATCAAGTAATAAATGCTGGCAAGGCTATGATGAAAAAGAAATGTAAACTAATAAAGCCATTATGGAAATCAGTATGCAGATCTCTCATGGAACTGAAATTAGGAATTTCACGACCCAGTAATAACCCTGCTAGGTATCTTCTCCTAAAGTTTAAGTCATCATACTATAATGATATATGTATACCAATGTTTATAGTAGCGCAATCCATAATAGCTAAATCCTGGAAGCAGCCTGTATACTCATCAACAGGCAATTGGACAAACAAAATGTTATATATACTATTTGGCTATAATGAATGAGACATCTGACACATCTGTAGGAAAATGGACCTGGAAAATATAATGGAAGGGAAGATGAGAAGAATGAAGATGTGCCATAATAACCCCAATTAATATAGGTACCATATGTCATAACATGAGCTAAGACAAATAAAATCAAGAAAGTAAGAGTAAGGGAACCAGAAGAGAAGGGAAAAAGAAAGGGGATTAAAAGCGGGGGGGCTGCCCCTTAGCTCAGTTCTTTAAGTGGCTGCTTCAACAAAGCAGTCAGGCTCAGGTTGCTGTGGTTCGATCCCCACAACTCAAGCCAGCCAAACCTTCCCTGAAGGCATTCGGAGCAAAAAAAACTGCTGGGGGCAAGAAACAAAGCTCAGTGTTCTGAAGCACAAGGACTCAGGTTCAATCCCTGGTACTACATGCTGTGCCACCCCAAAACCAAGTGTGGAAACACATGCCTACAAGCCCAGCGCTGGAGAAGCTGAGACAGGAAAATCAGTATGGGTTCCAACTGCATAGCGAGACCCATACCAAATACATAATTTTTTCTTTCTTTCTTTCTTTCTTTCTTTCTTTTTTTTTTTTTTTGTATTTTAGGGAAAGGTCTACACGGTGTTCAGGGTCTCACTACTACAGCAGACTCATAATGATCTGCCTGTTTGCAGCCTCCCAAGAGCTGGGATTATAGGTGTGCACCACCATGCCCAGTCTCAATTGCCATCTCAGCATGCCCCAGGGGCTGGGCCTGCATGGCAGGCCCGGGAATCAAACCCTCAGCCCCTGCACCTGCTTGCAGGTGCTTTTATCTGCTGAGCTATGTGGCTGGCACAATAAATTTTTTAAAGAAGCTGTAATATGTATATATAACCATTCCCCCCTAGATGACTATAAACTGTATGAATTGTGAACATGAACAAATACAATTTTTTAAATTATACACTTTTTTTAAATGACAGGAAGTCTTTTGAGAGGGGATTCATGGCAATGTGTCTTTTATTGTAATTAATTTTTTCCATTTTTTAAAATTAAGTACTTATCTTTTAGACTTTGAAAATAATTGACAGATAACAAAATATTAAGACATAAAATAAGAACACTGCTACAATTTGCTTCAAAATAACCCAAGGGAGGTAAAAGTCAGTGGACAGATGAAACAAGATGGATCTGACCATATTCTAGTTAACTGGACTGAAGCTGGACTGAAGAAAAGTAGATCTGACTATGTAAATACATGTGGGACACTATAAAACTGTCTTATTTTTGTAGACAATTTGATTGGAAACACACTTAAAAATACTCAATGTTGCCAGTTCAGACTTTTAAATACAATATTTTTCTCTAGGTTCAAAGTTTATTAATTAAATTTACTGGTACATTTTAGGTATACATAATAACATCCATCATAGGAAATTTGTACCTCTACATGATATAACTTGATTCTTTTTTGTTCCCTTTACCTGCCCTTCAAGCCTTCTTCTGTTTATTTATAAGAGGTATTTATTATACTTACAAAAGGTTCTCCTGTTTTCATTTTTCCTTTTCTCATTTTTTTTCTTCTTTCCCTTCCCTTTCATTCCCTAGCCCCCCTTCCCATTTGAGTATTTTCTATTTCATAGGATCTACTATTTTAAATGCAACTAAAATTGTTTTGCAAAAAGCCTAACACTTAAAAACACATCATTTTTTTTATTTTTATGTATTTGGTACAGGGTCTCACTATGCAGCTCAGACTCGTAGTGATCCTCCTGTTTTCAGCCTCCCCAGCACTGGATTACAGGCATGCGCCACCACACTGGGCCTTGATGACTGGTTCAGTGCGTGCCAGGATGGGGCCCGCTTGGCATGTGGTACTGGGGATCAAACCCTGGTCCCTGCACTCGCCTAAGCAGGTGCTTAGTTCACTAAGCTATCTCGCCAGCCCATAAAAACATATAATTCTTATAAGAAGATACTATATACTAAAAGAAAAAAAATTGACTTGCTGGGTTTGCTAAAATGTTAACAGGCAGTATCGATAAAAAATTAAGTTTTAGAGCCTAGCATGATGGCACATCACTGTAAATTCAGAATCATGGAAGGCTGAGGCAGGAGGACTGCAAGTTGGAGACCAACCTGGTCAACTGAGATTCATCTTAACAAAAACACTAGGGATACAGCTCAGTGTAATGGTCCTAGGTTTAATCCTTAGGACTGTAAACAAAAACAAAAACAACAACAACAACAAAAAAAAAGGTGGAAAATATTGCTTTTATTTAGTAAGAAGTACCAGCTGCTCAAATAAGCATGTCAAACATTTGAAACAAATCTCATTTTAAAAATGTAAAGCTTTTTTCATAGTAATCTTTTCTCTAAAACTAAGATGCTTTCATAAAATTTGCCATTCGGCAAAAACAGAGAAAGTTCAATGCTACTAGGCTTTTGGATGATTGTACAACTTTACAAAATGGATATACAACTATTTTATAGAAGTGTGCACTGAATGTGAGTTTACCATTGGCCTCATGTGAGGCCTATACAGGCAACATTTGACTTGCAGAATTGTTCAGCTTGCCTTTTATTTTTTTAAATTGACTCAATATTAAAAAATTAAAAATAAATAAACTGACTCAGTATTTCCAATTCAGATTTCAGTCAAGGGTCCAGATTGTGCCAGTCCTACATGTACCAACATGTTAAAGCACTGCAATACTGCCTCTTTCTGAAGGACATGGTGTTCTGCTTTTCACCACCATCTCTCTGATTACCTCTTTGCTCTGTATACGTTATGGCCCTGGCTCCAGCATTTATGTTTCTGAGTACCAGTTACAATCCAACATTGTTTTGAAGAGTGGTATCCTAAGACACAAAACAGCACGATGATGATATCTTAAAGAGGAGCCGGTATTGCTCAGTATTGTACTTGAAAGCACACACCAGCCATTCTTCTCCCCCATAAAACAAAGCATTTACTCTTCTCCGTGTTTCCTGCAAATTTTAAAATGTTTTTCTCTGACTGGGCAGCAAGGCTTACCTTCAGATCAAGGCTGCTAACACTCACAACATCATCATCTTTCTCTCTTCGTTTTCTTTTCTATAAGAAAAAAAGATTTCATCCTTTTATAGAATTGCATGTTATCCCATTAAACAAGGAAACTATAAAAATCACTTTTAAAAAGAAAATTATTTTGATGAAGGCTGCTCATAAATTGTCTCTGGCACATATCATCTAAACAAGTATCTCTTAGATTTTTTGCTGTACAGTCATTCTACCCACTTAAAAAACTTATGTAAAATAGAACTCTTATGTAAGTCATGGACTGTGTACTTGTTAGATAAAAAGTAAAATATATTTAATACAGAAAAGTAATGAGATTTTTTTAAGGGAACCCATTATTTATTGGGAGGGGGAAAAATTCTTTTTTAATGCCAAAGTAATTAAGACTTGTTGCCTGAAGCAGATTTATGAACTGGAATATCCACATCCTTGAAGCATTTTCCAGTAATAATTCAGCTCTGCCACTGCCAGCAGTAGAACTGTGTACATATCTATCATTTCTAGTTCTTAATCAATATTGAACACTTACATAACATTTCATTATTCCCCGTCTCAAAATGACTCTTTACATTACTTTTCACACAACCTAGCTCTTATAAAATCTTACAACTGACCAATCAGGCATTTATTCCATTTCTTGGCCCCAAATGAGAAGACATTGCTGGGAGACTGACTACAATGCAGCAAGACAGAATGAACAGAAAAAAAGAGGAAAGAGAAAGTCCAGATAGATGTGGGAGAAATAAGAGCCAGGAGGTCTCAGAAAGCAAGCCACCATGAAAACAAGAGAGAAGCCAGAAAAGCTGTATGAACCAAGTTTGCTTATAAAAGTGGAGGAAACAAAATTTACATAAAAATGAATAAAAATTCCCAAAGTCAAATCCAACACAAAATCACTGCAAAAAGAGAAATGGTTTATAGATGTGGTAGTAGACCTAAAGTGTGCATGCTCGAGCAGGCTATGTATTTCACTGAAAGCTCTAAAACACTGTGTTATCTTATTAGGAAATGAAGGCATGCAAAACAGATACTATTTTAAATTGAACTGAAAGGCATTAGAAAATGATTTAAGAAACAAAGGAACAATGTAAATAAAAATGGGGGAAGCCTCAAAAATAAAGTTTTGAAACTCAAGGAATGTTTATTGACCTGAAGATCAATCGCCTCCAGACAAGTATGAATTACGTCACTGCAAATTTGAAAAGCCAGCTAATCAAAACTCCTGTATTTATGTATCTTATCTGTGAACACATTCGTATTAACAAATAAGGATATAAATAAAGTATGGAAGATATGGAGGGATAGACATGGTGTTGACAAGGGTTAGAGAACAGGTTGGGGATGGAAGGATTTAAGTGGGGAAGGAGAGAGAGAAAGAAAACAAAGTACCAAGCAAAAAGATTAAAATATGGGAAAAATTACAAACAGAATTATAGGAAATTGTATATACATCTGAGTATACTAATAAAGAAATTTAATAGGTTTTAAAATATTCTATGTAATTTCTTTTAAATATTTTCAAATATCCCTTTAATCAATCTAGAAATCACACAAGTATATATGTAGCATGAGGTAGTACAGCCAAGTACATCCAACCTCAAACCATTTGATGGGAGTTTCATTCTTTCATCATGTCTATGATACAGTAAGGCCTCATATACACATAAGTTCTCTTATTATGTTCCTAGATCTATTTATCAATTTGTGTGCTCTTATGATACTGCGTCTTAATAACTAATAAAGTGATACACTTCCTATCTTGTATACTAGTTTTGTTTCAAACCTGCTACTCTTTCACATAAATTGCTGAATGAGATCTATTAAAGTCGAACAGAATTTCTATTAAAACTGCATTGAATATGGAGCAGTTTTGTAGAGCACTGATATTTTTATGAGAAGCTTTCCCTGTATGAAACTATGCTTTAAAATTTCCTCCATAAAATTCATAGGCTTTTCATGAATTTATTCCTTGTTTTAATTATTCCTTTTTCATAAACGTTTTTAAGTTTTTTAAAAAATTTATTTTATTTAATTTTAATAATTTTATTGAGAAACAAATAGCAATGAGACAGTTTCAAAACCAATTAGTAGGCCAGTTTCAATTATTAATAAATTGCCTATTGGTGTCTTTGTAGTGGTTATTCATAGTAGAAGATGCAGACATGATATCCTGTCCACAAACACTATTAGAACAAATCTTTCTATTCATTGAATTCAGGGAAAGTAGCTGTATATCTACCCTATTTTGAAAATAAAGATACAAAATGTTCTTTCATTTGTATCCCCCCCCCTTTTTTTTGTTTTGTCAGAGATGGGTATTCCATTGTCATTTAAATATTGTAGGGGCGTGAATTCAGCAAAATATTCCAATATAGTCCAGTAGTCCATAATAGTAGTGGGTTTTCTGTAGGACTGGCAATGTCAGAAGTTGTTGACTTGAGCCTTTTACAGCTCAGCATATTAATATGGCTTTACTTTTTAAACTTCGTTTTTATACTTTTCTGCTAGATGGTTAAGACCAAGATAAAGCAAGACCTATATAACAAGAAATGTAACTTTGTATCTGACAAGGTCAGTCACATCTCCTCAGGATTTATCCTGAAACCCAGTTTGTAGATCCTTTGTGAGTGTCACCCATGTGGATGAGTCACAGCACACAGTTAAAAGGAAAGAGAGAACATAATCATCATTAAAATTACATTTGATTGTTTATAGCAAGCCTATATAAATTCTATTGACTTTTTAAATTCTTGTTTAAAATTATCAGTTCAATACCTACTACTAATATTCTGCTGCTGAGCACTCTACAGAAACAATTACTGTTTCTGTCTCTAATTTTTTTTTTTTTTTTTTGCGGAACAGGGGATTGAACTCAGACCCTTGCCCTTGCCAAGGAAGCCCTTATTCCACTGAGCCAGCTCCCCGGCTCTGTTTCTAATTTGTATACCACTTTTTTTTTGTTTTTAATCTTATTGTGTTGGCTTACTGTTTTGAAGAATAGACAGTGATAGTAGGCTTTGTCTAAAAGTAATGTTTCTATTATTTGGTCATTACAAATGTTGTTTGTGATAGGTCTCACACTAAGGAAGTCTGCCAAGAGTTCTATCCTAAATGGGTGATTTTTTTTCCCCTTACCTTTCCTTCTATCTTGTTTTACTCTACTGTTCTTTGTCTAACCTCTATGATTAGATGCTTAATTTTTGTTTCTTTTTCAAACTACACCTTAAGCATTATAAATTTTTCTTATTACTCCTTAATCATATACCAGAATTTTCAATACATAAATCAAGAGACATACCCTCTTTTGTCATAGGAAATCTATACCAAATGGTTTTCCCAGCTCTCTAAGATACTTTCTTTTGAATGCAGGAAAAAACTGCTGAAACTTCATTTTTTTCATGTATCTTAATAAAAATTCATGTACAGATAATGAATACACATATCATCAATTATATTAGAAGGTTAAAAACAAGGGTGATTTAATCAGACTCCAAAGAAGTCATCCCCTGGGGCCAGGGAGATAGCTCAGTAGAGTAAGCACTTGCCTAGCAAGCACAGGGTACTGAGTTCAATGCCTAGTTCGGCAAAAAAAAGTCATTCGTAAGCTGAAATTATCGTGACTATTTGAAATACAGATGCATGCCCACTACCATTAACATTACCTTAAGTGAAAACTGTACTTTGAGGTACTAGTTAATAAAGGCAGTACAAAGATAATTATATCAAGAGTACATGTTCACAATACTTTTTGTTGATAAGTTTGTACAACAAAAATATGGAGATCCTTTTCCACTGAACTTCTTCTGTTTAAGGTTAGGCTCATCAACCTGTGAGGGAAAGGAGTCAAGATGCGAAATGCTTCAAAGGAAAATGTAGAACTCTATTAAAACCACGAGGGGTCAGGGAAATGGCTCAGTGGAATAAGCGCTTCCCTGGCAAGCACAAGGGCCTGAGTTCAATTCCTGGTTCTGCCAAAAAAAAAAAAAAAAAAAAAAAAAAACAAGAAAGAAAGAAAGAAAGAAAGAAAGAAAGAAAGAAAGACCCGCGAGACTTTTGCTATGAATGCTTCACCAGCTAGATTCATGTAATGGGTACAAAAATACAGAAATCTGAACAGGAATGCCCAATAGAAACAAACACTAAATATGAAAGAACAACATACAAATTAGCCAAATCTATCAGAACACCATCAAAATAAAAAGTAGTAGTATTTGGCCAATTAGAAACAGAATTAACTTTGCTAGTTCTTTTAAATAAAACTCATGATCTACTTATATATTATATATATATATATATATATATATATATATATATATCCCCCACTGAGTTTTAAGTACAGAAGGAATCAATTTTCTGGTGTCAAAGCAGAAATCCTAACCTAAGCATCAGTTCTTCTCAACAGTTGCAGTCATTCTGTTCTCTGTCATTCAACTCAGCTAGAGGATATGATTTGTCATCAAGCTGAAATTTCTGTGATTGTTACAACTTTGCTACATAAACTATGCTCACCACATACCACAACCTTCAGCAAAAGCTTATCTCGTTCTTATAACTTCTGCTTGCCACCCAATAAGAAAGACAAGCTCTCTATAATCAACACCTCAGATTTTGGAGACTACTCCTCTGGGATCTGTTAGTGTCAATAAAATTTCCTTTGTCTTCCTGAGCTCCTGAAAATGACCTGCCATTGATTCAATTTTTCCCACAATAATATCACAAAAAATTACATGCCTCTGTAGTCTTACCCTAAAAAAAAATGCAACAGTCCCTATGTATTAACATGATCAATACAAGAAAATACTTCTACCAAAGTGTAAAATTTTTTGTATTTTTCAATTGAAAAAAGATATTAGAGGGGCGGAGGTGATAGCTCAGCAGTATAAGCGCATACCTGGCAAACACAAGGTCCTGAGTTCAATCCTCAGGACCACATGCCATGCCAGCCCCAGAACCCAGGCACATTGTACTAGCCCCCGAACCGGGTGTGGTGGCACATGCCTATAATCCCAGCACTGGGGAGGCTGAGACAGGATGATCACTACAAGTTTGAACTACGTAGCAAGACCCTGTATCAAAAATTTTAAAAAAAGATTTAAAACAAAAAAGCTATTGGAGAATATGCATAAAAATAACTTCATGTTTCATAATACAGACTCTTAAATTTAACAATGGTACGAGTAAGGAGGATACAGTTAAAAATTAATGGATATGAATGCTCTGCAAAATGTTTTTATGTACTTGAAGAAAGAATACTTTCTAGCTTATCTGTAGAAAGGACTAAACTAGGCTGTCAAAGATGGCTATAGAGGAACAGCAAGATAGCTCAGCAGTCTAAAGCACCAGCTTAGGCAAGCACAGGAACCATTGTTCGATCCCCAGCACCACAGGCCACGCCAGCCTCCACCCCCAGGGTGGGATGAGCCGGCCACACACACACACACACACAAAAGATGGCTATAGAAATTCTGTTCCTCAAAACACTCAGAAGTACAAACATGAACTGTTTAATAGACTGAAAGACAACCCAGGAGTTAATTCCATCTAATGCCTTAAAATAAAAACTCAGATGTCTACTCACCAAGGTGAAGTCCCAGTGGGGGCCAGGTGTTAAAAAAGTAAAGGAGCTACCCCTCCGAAGGGAGTATCTATTAACAGAAAGGAAAAAAAAGAAAGAAAAAGAAAAAGCAGAGTAACTTTAGTATAACAAAGTACAAGGCAGATAAAAAGCTATCTTTCCCATAGCCTCAAAATTATTTAAAGCAGTCTGGATTCAATCTTAGAAATAGCAGAAACAGTGTAACAAAACAATATGTAGCAAGGTATAGGTTGTGATCATTTTCAAAATGCATAGGGGAAAAGTATATATAAAATTAGTGAATACATTGTTTAAAAATCATTAAACTAAGTAGAGTTTAATTTCAGGAGCTCATGTATAATTCAATAATAAATTTAGTAAATCAAATAAAATTTTTGAATAAATTTGAGACAAAAGGGCCTGGAGATATAGTTCAGCAGTCTAAGCACCTGACTGGCAAATGCAAGGACCTGAGTTCAATACTGGATATCGCATGCCACACCGGCCCCAGAACCCCAGCCCTGAAACTGGATGTGGTAGCACACATGGGTAATCCCTGCACTGGGCAGAGTGAGACAGGAGCGTCACTGTAAGTCCAAGCTGCATAGCAAGACCCGTACCAAATAAATAAAATATAATTTAAAATGAAAAATGTTTGAGATAAAGATCTCATGTAAGACTAAAATTTTAAATGTTTTAGGTTTTTTTTTTACTTTCTCTCCAATCAACATAAAGTATGACAATGCTGAGACAGTCCTTCTTCACCTTTCTTAAATACAAACTTTATATATTTAAAAATACATTTAAAAATCATGAAATATAGCTGCCACAGAAGATACAGTTCATAAACTATCCTTACTGGTGGTCACTTCAGATGTGAAGAAATATGTAACAAAGATCCCCCTCACCTGTTAAAGTAAATGAAGACCAACAATTGAGCTTGCTGTAGTAAAGGGGTCTGCTATCCTCCCTTGCATTTGACAGATACTCAGTAGCAGCTAGAAGAATGTGAAACTGTATAAGTGGAAAAGAGGCAGCTCAAATATGACTTGATCAGGGGTTGTAAGGTCACCGTCCATTTGTAAATTTTGTCTCTTACCCTAACCCTTAGGTTCTTTCTTCAGTATAAGTTACAGAAACACCATTCATAGTTCCCATTCCTGCAAAAATTTACGCACTTAAATCAAAAGTGCTTCTGTACTTACTAAATTAAATAAATAAGTAGAAGTGTGTTGTTTTGTTAAGGAATGCAAAGGAAAAGAGCTATAAGGTCAAAGATATCAAGTGGCTTTACAGAAGAATGAATAATACTAAAGCTCAATTTGAAAGAGAAATAGCAATTAGCTAATTAATGAGACAGTGAAATTAATTATGTTCAGTATATTTCAAGTAGTTTGTTTTGTTTAACAAAGAAACAAAAAAGGACTAAATCATGGTAAAAGGCCTCACATACTACAATGGCAATATGGTCTCAATCTTGAACTCTAACATGAAAGATAGAATAGAAGAAAACAAAACTGGTCAAAAAAATTAACCAGAATGCAAAGAGGAGAAACTGAGTGGAGAGAGGGTTAAGTGACAAACCTAATAAAACAAATGTTTTCTCCCTAAAACTAGTTTCACTTACTACCAAAGTTTCTGACATAGGGAAATATAACATCACTAGCAAAATGAGGATTTTAGGCAGAAAGGTCTTAAGACACTGAGCATACATATTCCCTAGGTATTTATTTGGGAAAAATCAAAACAGTACTCAAGGAGCTCAAATTTTCTTAGGGAAAAAAACAACTTAAGGAACTGATCATTCTACCCTTTCCTGCCACTTACAGACAAGTCAAGCAACAATAAAGAAAATAGGTATGATTTTTTGATGAAACATCAGAAGAAATATTAAACTTTGCAAAATATCACTAGAAAATACACAGGTATATTATCAACAAATGGTAAAAGGTTATGGGGAAAGACAGGACCTTCATACCATCAGTCTACAGGTCACATTTTTTTAAATTGCCCTAAGAAAGTGCCACTGTATACTAAATGGAGAGCCACCAGTGGGGAATGGGTAACCAGCAGCAGTTGTGACCACAGAAGAAAATTTTTAATCTAATAGAAACATGTACCATAAAGTGATGCTTACACTATTCAGTAGATACTTTCCTTCAGTTATAGGACAAGTATTAAGAAGAACTACAAAACCAAAGCTATTCATTTCTTTATTGAACAGAAACTGACTATAGTGACAGAAAAAAAATTGTTCTCTGAAAGCTAAAAAGAAAAATAGTTCTTAAGAGACTTAAAGATGTTAACAAACTGGAAAAATATTTCCAAATGGATGGCTAAGATTCTTTCCAATACCATTTGTAATCAGCTTCACAGTAATGCTATTTTTTCTCACTTCAATAACAAGTTATTCTTCATTTTGAATACCCATGGAAAAAAGAAACTTAAAAAAACAAATTGTGCCCAGAAAATATGTGTAGCAGTGCCAACTTTCAAAAATCTTGGAAAGGGGCCGAGGAGATGGCTCAGTGGAATACGCGCTTCCCTGGCAAGTCCAAGGGCCTAAGTTCAATCCCTGGTTCTGCAAAAAAAAAAAAAAAAAAAAAAAAAAAAAAAATCTTGGAAAGATACACTTATTTTTTAAAATAGGAGTCAGACTCAAATGTAATACCTATTTTAGATTCTTGTGGGAAAACATTTTCATTTTCCATAAAACATTAAAAAGTGACCTTTCCAGAAGATAAAACAGACAACCCACTAAATGAGGGGGGATTTAGAGCCTGAAATGAAGAGCTAGAAGAGGCAGTCCTTCAAATTAAAGTATTTCTTATTTAATTTTCCTGTGATTACCCTTGGCCTTCTTTCATATGACTTGATAATCATTTCTGAATAATGTAAATTACTTGCACACTAAATTTGTTTTAATATAAACAAAGCAAAATTAGAATGGTATACTTGTTGCTCGAAAAGAAAATCCCCCTGTTAATTCACCACCCTATCCCACCCCACCCCAACCCAACCACAGGAATCAACCTCACAACTGAACCTCACACTTGGTAGGCAGGTTCTGTGCCGCTGAGCTAAATCCCTGGCTATTAATTCATTCTTAAGCCAAACTGTATTTTCAGACACTGTGACCTGTATCACTGCCCGCTTCCATTATGGCAGATTAGAGCTGAAGCAGAATTACAAATAGCAGGAAAATATTCAATATGTCTGCGCAAGCTCTTTTTATAAGCATGCACGCGCACGCGCACACACACACACACACACACAGAGTTTATATACACATATATATGTCAGATACATATTAGTTTGCTACCTCATTCTGGTTTTTCATGCTACACTAGTATCTATAGTTTTTTATTTAGTTTCCTTTATTATTTAGAATTAAATTTTCACAATATCTAATATATGTAGCTATTTTTTTTGTATATTAAACTTCATTCCAGGCCAGCTGGCCAGATAGCTCAGAGGGGGGATTTAGAGACTGAAATGAAGAGCTAGAAGAGGCAGACACAGGGGCCAGGAGTTCGATCCCCAGGCCTGTCATGCCAGCCCCATCCCTGGGACAAGCTGAGACAGCAATTGAGACTGGGCGTGGTGGTGCACGCCTATAATCCCAGCACTTGGGAGGCTATAAACAGAAGGATTACCCAAAGTCCAATCTATGTAGTGAGAGCCTATAGAACTTGTACTAAATACAATAAATAAATAAATATACTGCTGCATTCCAGGAACCCCCAGACCCAGTACTAGCCCAGCCCTGGTGAGTGTGTGGGAGAGCTTCTGGCTACGCTGCACCGGCAGGACCAAACGGTCCCAGCCCAGGCGCAGTGTGGGTGAGACCCTTTTCCACCTCCTTGAGACACCCCCCACCACTCCGCAGCACCTCTCACACCCTGCCTGCTGAAAAAGAATTTCTGCCGCATTCTGGGAACCCCAGACCCAGTCCTAGCCCAGACCCAGTGTGTGTGGGAGAGCTGCGTCTCCCCCCCACTGCACCGTATCCTCTCCAGACTCAATTCAGGCCTGGCATACAGGCCTGGGATGAAACACTGCAGCTGCAATCTCTGCAGAGAGTGTAGGGGACAGAAGCACCCAGCCAATCCAAAAGCAGAACATCTTGCCAGAGGGGCACAACAGGTTCACCCCCAAAGAAAGCAGCAGGAAGGAGCTGAGCACAGCAGCCAGACCCAAGCCAGGCACAACTGGATAAATCCAAACTTTGTAGATCTGCAACTGAACTTTAGTAGGTGCTAAGGTTATAACTACAACAAAGATCTACCACAAAGGTCAGAAGACAGTGCCACACAATATGACAACGAGAAGGAGCAAAATGAAATCTCAGAACCCAAGCCCAACCATAACAAGTGCACAGGACACTCACAGAACAAACTGGGAATCACACAGCTGAAATCAATGAATCAATGGCTTCTGAAATAAAGACACAGCTTCAGAAAGGTAAAGAGGAACTCAGACTGGAAATGAAAAAAGAAATCCCTGAATTAATAACATCTGCAGTAAAGAATCAAATGCAAAGACATATAGAGGAAACCCAAAGCCCACGCAGAACAAGTGCAGAGGACACTAGCTCAGCTCAAATGTATGAATTAATAGCGCCAATAGTAAATAAGCAACAGCAGAAAGTCATAGAGGAACTCAGAGCGGAACTCTTTTCTACTAGCTCAGCTCAAATGTACAAATTAATAGCGTCAACAGTAAATAAGCAACAGCAGAAAGTTATAGAGGAACTCAGAGTGGAACTTTCGGAAATAAGAAAAGATTCTCTGAACTCATAGGATCTGAAGTAAAGAATCAACTACAGAAACATAGGGAAGAAACCCACTCTGAAAAAAACACTGCAGTAAAAGAACTTATAAATGCTTCTAAAGAACACATTGATAAAAAAAAAAAAATAGAGGACATTAAAAAAATGATGGATTCCTTGAAGGAGCAATACAGGAAAGAAATAGATCGCATGAAGCAGAGTCAAACAGATATAGAGGAATGTAAAATCACAATCACAAGCTTGCAAAACCGTTTAAGTGAAAGTGAAGACAGAGTTTC